AATGACTTCCATCATAGAAGGTCTGAGGCCTCTTGGTGGTCCTGTCAATGAACTGATCGATGATGACAATGTCGCCGGGCTGAATCTCTTCCCTCAAGGAGCCACAAGCTGTGGTCACGATGATGTGCGAGCAGCCCTCTTCCTTCAAAGCCCAGATGTTCGCCTGGTAGTTGACTTTCGAAGGCATGATGGTGTGCTGCCTCCCGTGCCTTGCGAGGAGGACGCAGTCAACATTCTTTATTTTTCCCAAAATTAAGGCATCAGAGGGCTTGCCAAACGGAGTATCCACATATTTTTCAGTTCTTCCTTCTAAAATCTCTGGATCATCCAGGCCTGTTCCGCCAATTATTCCAATCTTCGCGGGCGCGGCGGCGGTGGCCATGTCTGCGCGGGACGCGGCGGCGGGGGTGGCGGGGACCGACCTCCACGGGCTCGCAGGCGCGCCCCCCAGTCCGTTTTTACTTTTTATTTTGAAACAAAGTCTCTTTAAATTGCTAAGTTACAGAGGGTGACTGAACCTCTGAGGTGACAGTCCTCTGCCTCCAGCTCTTAAGTGGCTGGGAATATAGACATGTACCACCATGCCCTCCTCTAGTACTGTGTGTGTGTGTGTGTGTGTGTGTGTGTGTGTGTGTGTGTGTGTGTGTTCACACTACTGAGGATTGAACTCAGGGTCTTCACAGTTAACTACATCCCCAATCCTCCTTATTTATTTATTTTTCTATTTGTAAGATGTGGCCTTACTAAGTTGCTAAGTTGCCTAGGCTGGACTCAAACTTTTGATCCTGCCTCCATGGTGCCGTAATTATATGACCACCTCTAGCATCATTTTCAAATTTTGGTTGAACGTTATTGGCACTTTGCATTGATCTTTTGCTGCTAACACATTGGTCTTGTAGGATTAGCTTTTAATGTGGGAAAACAGGTTAAAAATCTGTAGCGTCACAGCTGGGCATGGTGGTATGCAACTGTAGTACCAGCTACTCAGGAGGATCACATGGGCTGAACTGGGTATTTTGCTTTGTTTTGTTTTTGTTTTTTAGAGACAGTCTCTCACTATGTAGTCCTGGCTGGCCTTGGACTTGCTATGTAGCCCAGGCACTCAGAATTCTCCTATCTCAGCTTCTTGAGTGCTAGGATTATAGTTTTGCACCAAACTGCCCCAGCTGTTGTGCGCAGGAGTTTGAGGCTATCCTGCAACATAGAGAGAGCCTATCTCTTTATAAGAAAAAAAAGTCTGTGCCTTTAGGAATAAGACTTCCTGAGTGGGAATTCCAGTAGAATAAGCTGTGTGATCTTTCATTAGATTCTTTTTTTTTTTCATTAGATTCTTTCTTCAGTTTCCTCATCTTGAGTTTTTTGTTTGTTTGTTTATTTATTCATTTGAGACAGGGTCTTGCTATATAGTTCAGGCTGGTCTTGAACTCGCTGTGTAGCCCAGGCTGGCCTTGAACTCACTGTGATCCTCCTGCCTCAACTTCCCAAATGCTAGGATTACAGGTGTGTACCACACACTGGTTGGCACAGCACACCCAGCAGGGCACACCAGGGATCAGACCCTGATCACTGCTGCCTAAGCAGGCGTTTTAATCCACTGAGCTATCTGGGTGGCCCTATAAAACATTTTGTTGTTCTTGTTTGTTTCTTTGAGACAAGGTCTTACTTGTTCAGGCTGCCTTTGAACTCACAGGGATCCTCCTGCCTTAGCCTCCCAAGCACTGGGCTTAAAGGTGTGTACCACTACCCCTGACAAAAACATTGTTTTATGTTCATTGCTTTTAATTTTCAGCTCTGTGTGTGTGTGTGTGTGTGTGTGTGTGTGTTGTTGTTGTTGTTGTTGTTGTTGTTGTTGTTGTTTTTAAGGTGAAGGGTTGAGAAGGGAGGGAGCAGATAGGAATGACAGAGATCTTACATTCCTCTGTTGCCTTGGTCACCAATATTCTGTGGCAGGTGACCTGTGCGTCTATGGCTTTCTCTGGTATAATTCTCCCTTTTGCTTGCTATTCTTCTCTGGATTTTAGACTTCCACAGGAAGGAGTGCAGACATTTGATCTGCTTTGCTAACATGTAGAAGATGTTTGGTGTCTGTAGCTGTTCTTCCTTTATCCACAATAATACCTGTCTCTTCCCTCCTGTCACCCAGCTCCTGAAAGGTATCCTGGAGGGTGCTACCCACATCCTCCCTGCACTCCGGGTCCTGAGCAGTCTTCTGTCCAGCTGTGGTGACTCTGTTCCTGTATACTCCTTCTGCCGGGAGGCAGGGCTGCCGGGGCTGCCGCTCAGCTTACTCAGGCACAGCCAGGGGAGTAGCACTATCCAGCAGGTAGGTGCTGGGTTGGAAGCATCTGAAGACTGACCCGTGGTCCTTTTCCTTGACCTTCTGTCTCTCAAACTAATGACTCTGTTTGGCCCAATAACCTTTTATTTTCTTTCCTTTAATCTTTCCTGGGTGAAATGGGTGGTGTCAGTGAAGTAGACTATGTGCGTCAATATATAAGCATTGGGGACTGTGATAAACTAGGGATCACCAACCTGTCCTTGGTCCAGCCCACTGTGGCCTTGTCATTGTTGCAGTTTTCCAAAAGAAGGTACAAATCCAGGTTTTTATGCATAATTTCCTGACATTTATAATATTTTGCTTTGAAATGTTGGGTCATAGATCTTACTAACTTGCCAAAGCAGGATCCTAAAGTTCAGAAAGTAACTCCCACTTGGTTGTTACATAAATGGTCACAAAGACAATGAAAAGCTAGGGTAGATAGTCCATGTATTTGGGACTGACTCTACATCGTCAGACTGTGTCCTGCCAAAGCTGAGCTGAGAGGACAGGGAGATCCTCCCAGCATCAGAGTTTATGGGGCCTAGGCTGAGGCAACTGGAATGCTGCACTCTGCTGGTGAGTGCTAATCTTGGGTGATTTTAAGGAATTTTTAAAGGATTTATTTATTTATTTAGGGTATTTTGAGAAAGGGTCTTTCTATATAGTTCAGGCTGACCCTTTAACTTGTTATGTAGCCCACACTGGCTTTGGACTTGAGGCAATCTTCCTGCCTCAGCCTTCCAAGTGCTTGGATTACAGGCATATTCCATCATGCCCAGTATTTTTTTTTAATATTTATTTATTTTTATT